TGATGGCTTAATTGAGCCAGCTGAGCTTATTTATACGTAGTAAAACAAAGTGGTTAACAGTCTCATGTTCAGTGTCCCATTTTTGAGGTTTCACACGCTTGTGGGTTCAATTAAATGGTGTTGTTTTTGGCTTTAGCATATGATGAGTTCATTGATGCAGCATCCTAATGGATTGAACTGAAGGCATTCCAAGGCTGGCTTAATACTGCATTTAAATACCATCACCAAAATACAAGATGGCGATCCTCCAAGAGCAAATAATGTAGTCTTTCACATATTTATTAATTTCACTTCTGCTGTACGTCTTAAAATTTAATCGGATTTTGCTTTCATGTTCTCTTGACCAAGCGCTGTTCTGCAATAAATATATTCATCAAGACAATCTAAGTGATGTGTCTTGCATCAGTCCTTGTTGGACAGGCCGACATGAGAAGCTGGAATGTGGGAGAAATTAGGCTTGGCATCGTATAGGAGGATGATGCAAAGTGCCTGTTGCTGCTGACTCTCAAGTCTCCTTAACATCAGATGAAATCCAGGACAAAATAATACCAGGATTGTTTTAAAGTAAATATTTATCATTTATTGCAGTTTTTTTATGTATCTTTTTAGGTGTTTTGTGGAGGTTTGATTGAGCAGCAAATACTGGTGTGAACCAATCCAATGAAATAGATGTCTGTTGAGACTTGGTAATTCAAAGTGCAGCAACAATGCATTTTTAATGCCTTGAATGCAATTTTTACCAACATTTGATCAATCCCTGCTCTCATTACGACACCAATATTGCAACAACAAATACTGAATTATTCATTTGTTATTCATTCAAATGTGGTTTTTTAAAACACATTTTTTAATCATTTGACAAAATCCAACAAGAGCTCCTCTTCATTCTTCTTTCCCCTATACATTGTGCTATTTTTATTTTTTTCTTACTTTTCTTCATTGTCCACTTATATGCTCCTCTTTCCACTCACACCGAAAGACTGTGAGGAGAGCGCACCAGCAGATGAGCCACGTAAGTCAGAGGATAGCTCAGTGTGTGGCTGTGTTTGTTTTTCTGTGCATGGTGAGCTGTGCTGTAGGTGTGCGTGTTTGTGAACATGCTACTAGTCTTTTTTTCATGTGGGAGCTCCAAGTATACCTCTTCACTTTTTAATTGGAAACAGGATCCCTGAAAGCAGAGTGAGCCCACGAGGAGCAGCAGGCATACCTTTCCTGCGGATTAACCCCTGTGTTCTTCGACACTGTTCCCCTCTTTTATTCTCTGTTATCCTTTTCTCTCCTTTCAACACACACTCACGATAATTACCGCTTCTGACTATTACCCAGCATACTCCTGGGTTGCACATTTTGTTCTCTTAATCTGGTGTATTTAATAATTAAAGCAACTGTGATTTCCTCATGTGAATATAACTTCATAAGGCATGTTTTTAGTGTGTGTGTGTGTGTGTGTGTGTGTGTGTGTGTGTGTGTGTGTGTGTGTGTGTGTGTGTGTGTGTGTGTGTTTGAATTGTCTGAATGTGGTCTTCTTGTCCAGAAAAGAAAGAAAAACAAAAAAAAAAATCCTCACTCAGATTTAACTAAGCAGTTAAGTAAGAGTTTACCTAGGAGGGGTCCTAGGTGTTGGTTAAACATGGAACAAGTATGGTTAAATAAATCCTAAGGAAAGAAGAATTGTAAAAAAAAATTATTTTGCTGCTTGATGGTATGGACGTATTCCAATATGAGAATAAGAGGATTCATCTTTTTCCAATTTGGCCACCAGTCTCAGGAACACACATGGACAAAACACGACCCAGGGCCAGATGCAACCAATGAAACCATGTCAACCCTTTAAAGGACTGGTTCTCAGAGAAACGGTGAAATAATGGTTAATTTCAAAATGTTCTTTTTGAAATATGATTGGTCACTCCGAGTTGCACATGCATGCTGAATGTGAAAAATGTCTTCATTGCTCATTGCTTGCATTGAGTCTAGTTTATACTTCTCCTTCTGCATATGTTCAGACACATACGGCATCATTATCCGGCAACGTAAGGGTTCTCCAACAGATACGCAAGGTTGGAGTCCAATTTTTTAACGCAACATAGATCGCACATCTGTGCAACAGCGGTGGCATTGATGAGATGTTCGTCCACCAATGCCACCGTCTCCTCCCTTCCAATTAAACTCTTTGTAGCAAAAGTTTTTGTTCCTTGGGATCAAGCAGATCCAGCTCGCTTTCTTATGGCCATTGCTCCTTAGGTGGAGAGGCCTTAACAAGTTTAGTTTTTTTTTATTTGATTTTACTTGGCAAGGAACAAGCTGAAGTGTTGACCAGAGACAGTGGCGGTTCTACATCGAATTACTCCCCGGGCGAGGCCCCCTTTGAGCGCCCCGCCCAACCCCCCCCCCCCCCCCCCACCACCACCACCACACCACCCCACCTGCATGAACACACGCATGTTTTCTACAAACAGGCATGTTTTATTAGAACGACTATTGAACATTCATTTTTCGAAGTTGCACATATTTACATTAATTACTATGAAGTTGTCAGAATGTAAAGCACTATACATTATTTACTGTATCAAAATATATAGAATCAAATATACAAAAACAAACAATAACTAAATATTAAGAATGTATGAACATAATAGATAATAAATATTGTAAATAGCAAAAATATTTCACACATAACAAACTAAAGATAATCACTACAGCATTGCACTTAGAATAGAAAACACAAACTAAAATTAAAACCTAACCTTGATGCAACGTCATCAATAATGTCGTCATATGAAATCTGCTCCCCTACTGAGTGATTGATACTAATCAGAGCCAGGTTAGTGAGCCGCCCCTGAAACATAGATGACCTCAGGTATGACTTGATCAAGTTTTGAAAAGCTCCTCTCAGCTTGAGCCACAGTGACTGGCAGAGCAGTCCAAAAGTTGGGGTAGATCTCCAATAGATCTTTATCATGATCCATAATATTTTAGAATTGCCTCTGAAATTGTAATTTAAACTGACATAAAAAATTGTAGACTTCCAAAAATACCAACTTTTACAGAACAAATCAGGTAAAAAATAATCAGTGCAGCCATCTGCAATAAATAAACAGGATAGTTAGTGGTGACTGGGAAGTTTTCTTCTGCTTGTAGAGTTGTTTTATTTATTATTATGTGAACATGATCAACATGTGTTTGTTGTTGTTCAGGCAGGCCACAGACTGCAGTGAGCATTTAACAAATCCTAGTTTGAATCAGTAAAAAACGATTCAAGGACTTTTTTCGAACCATTTGAATATTCGTTTAAATATTTCAGCCCTATTAGGTCTGTTAGCAATTAGTTGACCGCATTTAACCGTTAAAATCCCAGTTAACTGGTTCAAAAAATTGAAAACATGCATCATGAGAGCTACATACCTTTATCTTTTTTTTCCCCCTGAATCGAGCACCTGGTGGTTTTAGCCTTTTTATGTTCATCTCTTCTGTTTGGCTCTTAACTCAGTAAGTTTCCTTTAGTCAGGACTAAACAATTTGACCTTGATGGGGGGGTGACCACAAAATCATTTTGTTTTTCCTTTTTTTATTCGGCCATTTCACACAATTCAGAGAAACCTGAAAGAATGATAGGCCTGTGTTTATGATATTATGAATGAAATATGGAAGAACGTTAAGATGTGATTGACTTTAGCCATGTTAATACAGTTGATTCAGCCCCTGCACGCTCATTCATTTGGGAAAGACGCAGAGGTGAATTCCCCCGCCGCACCCCTCCCCTTCCTGTTCTTCATAGACACACGGTGCACGTGAACGTTCTCAGTCAGCAGGAGCGCCTGCAGCTGCAGGGGGCGCCAACTTGCTGTTTCCAGTCCAGACACTGTCATATGAAAGATAATAGAAAACCTCGGTGCGGCGCAGATTTCCTTTTTTTTTTTTTTTACTCAGCGCTTGTGCGCCCCTTTTGTGTCATGAAAAAATGCCGCCCCGGGCAACTGCCCTGTCTGCCCGTGCCTAAAACCGCTACTGACCAGAGATGTCACTGTGATAGTAGGCAGACCCCTACTGTCCTGGTGGAGATATACCTTGCAACACTGACACACCAGTGGAGATGTATAAAATAAAAACATCTCCATCAATACTTATACATGTGAGCGCAATCTTGCTGATGGTAAAGTATAAACTAGGCTTCAGTCTCTCTAGGGAAAATATGGGAAAACAATCGGATCAGAAATAGCAAGTCTCTTCTACAATTTATATGCATAGCTCTGTCAGCCTTGGCTTGATTGATTTAGAGGCCAGGAGAGAGTAGAGCACTCCTCAGCTAGTAGAAGCTAATTATTAGCAACACTGCTACATAGCAGAACACGTTGGGCTTGTGTCATTTGTAGAGACAAAACATCAACATTGCATATTTTTACCCATGAAAATATGTTTTACCGTAGAATAAATGTTGTTACCGAAAGCTGTTAGTTGCTGTTAGTAAATCAAAGGCTATGCATTTGCATGTCATGTACAATAATGAGTTGGACTCAGACAAACTTCTCTACAGGAGTGCTAAAGCTGTTTTTTCTCCACAGAAAAACAACTTGTAAATCATCCATACATACAAGAGACCACAGCAAATTTATTGAAAAAAAAATGTGAATGAGAGCTTTAAGATTACTAATAATAAATCAGTTATTATTTTTTTCCTCTTTTTGGTGCTTTTAACATAACTCACAAGTAGATGTGTAATTATTTTAGTTTTTAGCAATGTATGTAGTGTTTTAATTAAGAAACATATTACATCATGATTTAGTTGTGAAATTACTATCCGATCCTAGACGGCCAAAACAAAATTATAATCTGCAATATTAGATTTCAATATTCATAGATCCTGGTTTTGTTTTGTATTTTCATTTGAAAAACAAAGTTCTTCCGTCTGTGAATCTGTCTTCATCATGTTAGCACTACAGTGAGTGTGTGGTTTTCTGTAGAGTTAGCTTTTTTGTAATGTTTTTTATTTCTGTCTTCATCAGCTAAAAAAGAAGAGGATCTGGAGGATAAGAAATCCATAAAAAAAAGAATCAAGGAGCTCAAGGTGCTCGATCCCAAGATTGCACAAAATCTCTGTAAGTCTCCGTTTCCCCTCAGAACCGTCTTAACTCTGATTTACATTCATACAAACCTGTCATGACTTGTAATTAAGGTACGGTGAGCTCTTCTGTCATTCATTTGTCTTTTATCCCACTTAAGTTGTTTCTTCAGTTTTTTTTTCAATCATATTAAAACTTTTTTGACAGAAAATGAGCACAACAAATTTTCATCTTTAAAAGTTTTAAAATAACTCATTTAAGTCTAACCAGTAAAGACCCAAATACCAATATCTTGCAAATACTGACAGCAAGAATTATACAGTGGCATTTATAACAAATAAATGCAAATAAATTGATGTTCACAAAATGTTGCGTAACATTTACTGAGTCGTGTCAAGGTGCTGTAGGAGCGTGCACTAGCACCGTGTCCTCAGAGAGATTAGTTATTAGTTATCAGTGTGAGGAACTTATTTCTACCTTATTTATAAACTATTTATTTACAAGTCCATCAGTTAATGTAATAATTGTCCCAACCACAGCTGCACCCCTCACCCCCCACCCCGGTCTCACAGCAATCGGGGCAAGCTGCACGTGTGTTTAGCACGCTGCACGCGCACATTTAGCTGTTTTTAGTGGCTCAGGAGTCCGCAGGTGCGGTGTGTGTGTCACTCACTCTGGTTACTCCAACAGGGAGCCGGCTCCGAGAGCTGTTTCTTTAGCGACCGACACATCACTGCATCATTCCCTTTCCTAATGTTGTGAAGAACGGTCCGGAGCGCAGGCGGAGTGTTTAGCTAACTTGCAGGAAATGTCGACGACAGTTATCCAGAAAGTAGCTAAGGGTTACCAGAGATGTTTCTGAGATGTTCGCCAGGTACTTTTAGGATTAAAAAGTCAAGAAGGGGGTCTGAAAAGCTGCTAGAAATAGTGTCAAAGTCGCTAAGTTGGCAACACTGTGGAGGAGCGCTTCATTTGCAACTCAGGGCAGCGCAAGCGGGAGGAGCAAATAATCGGCTTGTTTTGATTTTTATAATCGTTCAAAACTCAGATCGTAATCGTGATTAAAATTCGATTAATTGAGCAGCCCTACCGTGACACACTCCGAACAACCTTCACTCTGGGATGAAAGCTAATTAATGTCTGAGGCCTTGATAAAATTTATTTAGTGTTAGAATCCCTTTGGGTTCAGAAAACCTTTGCATAAATAGTCCTTTTGTTTTCCTCTGTTTTGCTCAAAAATGCAAAATTAACCATCATAATAGAGATGATAGATTAATCTTGCTCAAAGATTGTACACCTATTTGGACTTCTTCTGGAGATCAGTTCATATTGTACTCCTAAAAGCACAGGTCAAGGGCTCCCAGACTTTTGCATGTTGCTTGACGTCTGCGCGTATTGCCATAGCAGTTATTACACAACAGCACTTATTGCAAACCTGACTGCTGATACCTGCGAGTCATCTCTTCACACTGCTAATTAGCGATGTTAAAGATCCATTAAGGAGAGGGAAAAAATAAAGGAAAAGCTTCGGTGTATGATCACATTGATCTATCCTGTTCGAACTGTTTTTCTGCTTCCCTCCGTTTATTTCTCACACACACTCAGATGTGTGTGCTTGGGCTTAATATGATCATTTTAAAAGCACCCGGCATTAATGAGGATCCTGCTGATCTCTTAAGCACTCTAAGATCTTTGCACCTCATTGGCTTATATCAAGGGGAGCTGTGACCTTTGTTTCACGTAATAAAAGCAAATGGGACTAATCAGCCCAGTAACGGTGATAAATCATGCAGCTGAAATTATAGAGCAGGAATCAGAAGAAAAAGAAAAACAGGAGGCAGTAGGTGGGTTATACTGTATGTGTTTAACCATAGGAGGGAATGAGTAAAGGCTTTAGGTTGTAATGAGTGTGTGAGATTTTATTATTAGCTGATGAGATTCTGTAGATTTAATCCAACTAATGACTTTTGCTCAACTCTTTATAAAAGCTAAAATCAGATTAATTTTACAGTTAGTGCATTTAGATTGATCTAGATCGACTTAGATGTGCATTTAAAGTTATAAACTGGCAGTCTTTATCCTAGTTTACATTAGGGCTGAACGATTTTAGGAAAATATTTAATTGCAGTTTTCTAGCAGAAATTCACGATTTTCTGCAAACAAAGGTCCAACACTAGCCTGCCAAGCCATCCTGTAGATTAAGTGAAAAGATGGTCTAAATTCTAATCTAGTACAACAAATCATTCACATTAAAATTGACTATTTAACCATACAATAAAAACAGTTAAAGCTATTAATATTTTCTCCCATTATTATCTTCTTTTAATTTTTTTAATGTGTTTGTGGGGAGGAAATCTGTTGGTAGAAATAGCTTTTAAATGTATTAAATAACAAAAAAAAAAAAAAAAGTACAGTTTTCCCTGCATTACCAAGGCTGGCTGGCTGCATGTTTTTCAAAGCCGTCTGATAGTTTTTCCTCACTAAAATGTCAGTTCCGTGAGAGAGACGCACACATCTGACACCTTAACTTGTAACGTGTGCCATCAGAAACATTCAAACCATTTTTAAAAGAGAAGTTGAGCTTTCAAGTCAACTATAGTGAGCGACTCCGCACTCGCGCTGATGAAGCATAAACCAAGCTTTAGAAATCAGCCCGAACCTGCTGATGTGGGAGGAGTCTCTCTCTCTCTCTCTCCCTTACTGAACTAAGTTCTCCCTCTCTGTCCCGGGCTCACCTACAGTGCCATTATTATCGGCTCTAGCAGCGTTGTGTGTGGAGACATAAAACAGGCAAAAGAACCTGAACATGCAGCTCGGTCAGCTGTGGAGTTGGGCTTGGCTCTGGACGGTACACTAGAGCCCTGCACGGGCCTAAAATCTGAGCCTGTGTCCGGCCCGGCCCGAGGGGGTGGAGCCCCAGCCCGACCCGGTCCGAAAAGGTTTTCAGGATTCTCTGGCCCGACCCGAGCCCGACTTTTTTTTTTAACCTTTCATAATGTTTTAGCATGATAGAATGCTCAGCGTTCTAATTATCTGCGAGAAGCATTCTGCAGTAAAAAAAAAAAAGAAAGAAAAGAAAGAAAAACAGCATCAATGCAGCTTTTTTTCTAACAGAGCGTATTTTTCGAGCGGCAGATGAAATTTACGAACACTATATTAATTGGATGCGTTTGTAAATTTAATCTGCTCTGAAAATGCGCTCTTTTGCAATTAGAAAAAAACAGCAGCATTCTAATTTTCTAACTGCAGAGCGCATTTTCAGAGCGGCAGATTAAATAAACGCCCCCAATTAATACAGCGTTTGTAAATTTAATCTGCCGCTCTGAAAATGTGCTCTCCGTTAGAAAAAAACAACAACAATGAATGCTGTATTTTTTTTACTGCAGAGCGAATTTATTCACAGAAAAATAGAATGCTGCCGTTTTCATGAGAATAAACGAATGGTTTCTGACATCAAAGTGGACATAAAATGGCATATTAGAATAGGGGCACATGTTTCAATCAGCAGTTTGAGAATTTGTTTATATAGGTGCATTTATAGACCACACAGACCTTAACTGAGCTAACGGTGCCTGTGTGTGAGAAGCAGGCAGGTGCTGCTGCGTTCAAGAGTTTCAGTTTTTTTTATGAATTCGATTAAAAATAAAGGCGCCCGGCCCGTGTCCGAGGTAATTACACAGTCGTTGGCCCGAAGCCCGGCCGTCGGGCCGGGCCGACCCGAGGGCCTAGGGCTTCAGTGCAGGGCTCTACGGTACACCCCAACCCCTCCCCCGCGCTGGCTTTTGCTGCCGCCGTAACACAGGGGGAAAACCCCGGATGTAAAAAAAGTTACACAACTGATCCTGGATCAGTCAAAACTGCTAAAACCGCAGCTTTGACTGTCACGTGACCATGCTGTTTGAAATCGCAATTTCGGTCCAAAAACGATAAATCGTTCAGCCCTAGTTTACATGTACATTAGGAAACCAAACCCTCAAATGACGTTTGTTCCACACTTTGGTACAGTAGGTGGCAGCTTGCGCCATTCTTTCGTGTCGACATTGTTCTGGTTCGCTTACAGCAACACATAGTAAACAAGCACTGGCGGGAGTGAATCAGACAGAGTTAAAACAGGTTATGCTCAATGGCTGAAGGAATGGACGACAACAACAACACTTCAGCACAGCTTATCTGATACATGCTCTACTGTTTGATGGAGTTACACGTATTACTTTGTGGTGATATATTATCAGAAGACCACTTCTGCAGTCTCATCAATTATGGAAGTAACCAGTATCAGCTCGACTGAGCCATTTGCATGCAGAAGTTGGGTTCCTACCACATTAGCATGGTTAGAACCTGCAAGACCAACGTGGTTACATCCATTTAAAAAAATGATGACATCAGTCCGTTTAGGGCAATAACTCAGTTTTCTGATGCAAAAGTAAATGCACTGACTGTAGGACCTTGGTCTGTTTTTTTCATATCAATTTCTAAAGGTAGATAAAGATGACACAGTTCAATGAGCAAGAAATAAATACTACCTTATTTATTAGTGAAAAATTAACCATACATTTGTGAAAAAGTAAAACTCTTGTATCTTTTAAGCCATCCTATATAAGTGGATATAAAGTCTGGCCATGACCCATAGACAGATCTTAGTCGTGGGGTGGAATCTTAAGTTGTCTTTCAAACTGTCTCTGCATGCTATTGGACAACGAACAACGTGACAAACTCACTGCTACGGATGTCCGTCAACAGCGCAGTCTGCCATTCTGTGTTGAAGACACAAATACACCCTTTTTCTAAGTAAAGGACTAAACTACCTCTATCTGCTCCCTTTTGCTCCGTTACAATATCCCACCCACCAAACTGATAGAGCACTGTGATTGGCAGTACACCGCTCAGTCTAATGGTATACCTGCTGAGGCTCCGTTGGAGCGTGACTAGACCGACCCGCTGAGCAAAATCCTTTAGCTTTTGCTACGGTCTGCCTCGATTTCTAGGCTGTAACTTGTCCTGTAATGCAAATTTTCTGTTATAGCTGGTATATTTAACCCTCCCACTGACCTAATGGGTGTGACCCCGCGAGTAAAGTTGACCATAGAGCAGGATTGATGGTTTATCTCTTGAGGTCCATGTGGCAGGGGTGAGGTGGTGCTCACTCCTCACCCCTGCAACATGGACCCAAGGGATAAACCATCAACCCTGCTCAATGGTCAACTTTCCTCGCGGGGTCACACCCATTAGGTCAGTGGGAGGGTTAAAAGCCTTGAGGTGAAAAAAGAGAACAAGCGATTTCCAGTTTTCAAAGCTTGGAGGATAATTCCAGGCTCAACTTTTAATCGTGTCATGTGTAACTGCTGGTTTTTAATGCCAGAAACTCCAGATGTACCCATTATTTTGTCAAAATTTAAATAATCTTGCTTGAGTTTTTTTTTGGTGTTTTTCTCTAAATTAAATGTTCCCATATAGCTTTATGTCTGAGTCATAAGGGGAAGTGTCTTTAATTTGATAATTTTTGTTCACACTTCGTTTCCTTTGTGTTCTTAACTGCTTTGTCTTATATCCCATCATCTTTGCTTTTTGTTTTCTTTTACAAATTTTTATGACCAGTTGTCTGAAACTGCAGCACTAATGCTCAGCTGTGAATCTTTTTTTTTTTTTATGTACCACAATGTGGTTTTATTTGAAATGTCTCCTCTCTAGCCATCTTCCTGGGCTCCTTCCGGATACCTTATCAGGAAATTCGACGCATGGTTGTGGAGGTGGATGAGGAGCAGCTCACTGAACCGATGATCCAGGTAAGACAAGTTTTGCATGAAGATAGAAAAAAAAAGCTTAAAGCTTTGGTTTCTTCTGCGACTTGAGCTGATGAAATGTTCGAGCCGCCTACAGTCAATCTGGTCACACTCAACTATGAGATAGAAAGAATATTGGAAATTAGCTCAACCGACAATGTGCAACTTTTCACCTGAGGCAGGAGTTGGATTTCTAGCTCTGCCCTTCTCCTACACAGTTGTTCAGGTCCATTCCCAAATGCCTGCCTATTGTCTTGATTAGTTGTCTACCTCAAAACTGAAAATGCCTTCAAGCTAAAGCTTTGGCCATCTGTCCATATGCAACACAGCAGTTGTTCAAGTAATTGGGTGACACAAGTGGTCTGTCAACAGGAAAAAAAACCTAAAGAAACAAGCTTATTGGTAGAAAAAGGCTTGAAAGAAATGGCTGGTTTAAGAAACATAAAACATCATCACTGTACAAAATATGTTATTGCCAATTGTTCAAATGGGCAGTTTGTGCATTATTTTCTGACAATAGTTGTTATACATCATCATCATCATCATCATCATCATCATCATCATCATTATCATTATTATTATTATTATTAAATGTTTTTCCCGTCTGGAAGACATTCAGAGGCAGCCCAACCAGCCCATGACTCCACACAACGGGACTAAACTGGGAATACATTGATCCAAACAAATCTGTGTTTAGTTTTGTTTTCTTTTTTACATCAGAGGTTAGTTAAAAATAAAAAAAGACAGGTAAATTCTGATGCTGTTGCATTTTAAATGATTTCCACAGCTCTACTTAAGAGACTTTGGATCAACGCAACAAACCCCACTGAATCTGAACAGTAAAGGGAAATTAGGCTTGAGTCATTGAAAAGCACTGTAGAAAACACTCTTTGGGTTGTTTAGTTTAAACTGTGTTTGTGTTAGAAAAAATGCATCAGTGTTTTGTAACAATCCTAAACCAGTAACAGGAGTGACCCAGAAGTTATTACTTGTACCCAGAGAGAGAAGCCACTGCATCTTTTTGTTTTTCCTCTTATATCACATAAAAAGGCTAGAGGCTAATGTTGAGCTAACAATGCTAACGGTGAATTAGGAACATGCATTCAGCTTTAAAAATATCTATACTTTTTCTACAACTTGATATTACAGTGGAATGTATATATCTACAGTGCTTATCAACTTACTGTGCATGACTCATCTTCATTCGTCATCTGGAATCATCTGGTGCTGATCTGTAAATGAAACATCCATGAAAGTCACAGAACAGGAGTGAGAGAGTAACATGTGTGTTTTGAAACATTGACTGCAATACCACATTTGACCACAGAAGGCCATTCTTCATTCATACAACATACACCTTTAAATCATTTTCTTGAACCAGTATGTGCTAAAATGGCCCTTTACATGGTTAATGAAATGTCACTCAGCTTTAGAGTGCTGGTCCGATCCTTGTTGGACTTGGTGGTGGTGTGTGGGGTTGGGGTGGGGGTGGGGGGGGGGTGGGGGGGTGGGTGGGGGCTGGAGTCTTCTGTTTTCTGTATATTTTCTGTAATGACCACAGCTGATTTGTTTGATGTAGTGATTAATCACTTCTGTAGACACTGATGAAGGCCGAGGAGACATTTCAGCTGTTGGCTTAAGGTGTTAAAAAGAAGATCTTACAGCCAGGACATAAGTTTCACTTTTGATTTCACTAAATGGGCACTAGGGGGTGCTAAAAGCAAGCCAAAATTGCCTAGTCTCCATCAATTTTATTACATTTATTTGACCAGCATGAGATTTTGTTATGACCTAATGACAAATTAAATGCTCTCCACAGCATGTAGAGCAAACGAAAAGCTAAATAAAAGAAAGAAAACAAAGATAATTAGTCAAGCCAGCAAGTCTGTGCTTTACTGATTAAAAGGCGGTTTGTATTTGAGTTTTTTTGTCCCAATTTGTGCACCAAATGTTGAGGAGGTTAATGGCTGCTGCTGAATACTTTTGATGATTATTTAGCTGTCATAATATTCAAGCAGAGCTGGAACAAATATAAACAAACCTGAGCTACAGATGTACATATTGAATAATTCATTCAATCAATTAATAGTCATTAAAACAAATCCAATTATGAAGCATCAATAAAAACTTTAATAGTAGACATGCAATTATTTGCTTTGGCTCCAGGCACCAAGAACGTTTTGAACACAAGATTGATGTTTGGCACACAGTAGCAGGAATTATTAATATTCATCTGAGAAGACAATGGAAGAAAGAAAAGTATCACATGGTACTTGACTTTCAAAAAGCTAAAATCACCTCTAGTTGTTTCTACAGCTATGATATAAAAACACACCAGCTATTTGTGTTTATTAACATGGTAATTGATCTCCTTGTTTAATTTCCACATAACAAAGTACCAAGTATAGTTATTGAGATAAACTACGTATAATGTCATGACTCAGTATTCTTTTCTACCTTTTCCTTGTTTTGGCAGAACTTGGTGAAGCATCTACCCGAGCAGGAGCAGCTGAACGTCCTGGCCAACTATAAAAATGAGTACTCTAATTTGTCAGAGCCTGAGCAGTTTGGGGTTGTGGTGAGTATACGGTCTCTCTTTCACACACACACACACACACACGCACGCACGCACGCACACACACACACACACAGATGCTCATCTCTACACAAAGTAGATGCCTGTGGGGTTTATATGAAACAGTCCAACATGAGAGATTTGTTAAAGTAGCAATAGTTTTTTTAACTTTAAGCTAAAACTTTAACATTGATTACATTGTCATTGTTGAGTTAGAAACTTGACCAGTTTCATATTTAACACCTCTCTGCAGCCCTCTGCTGACCAAAATGTGCAGTTTGTGGAGTGGGTAGGTGTCCTGTAGAGGGAGCTCTGTACCTGCTTTAAGGCTGTTATCTGTAATGTTAGCTGTTAGCATTTTCAGTTCGCCAGTAATGAATAAAAAGCAAAAGTAAAAGAAGTTTGCTTTTTGTGTTGGAATAATAGCAGAGCCTGGAAGTTAAAGTAAGAGAGTAATTTCTTTGGAGACAAAACAAAGAGTCTAAATTGTAATAAACATCGGCATGACCTACACTAGTTTGAGGAAGCTAAAGGAGGCTACAAAATCACAGACTGATGGTGACCTGGCTTTGTTTCTAAGTGATAATATTTTTGGTTCAACAGTGTGTCTGTTTGCTTCTTGGTTTATTTTAGTATCAGTTGGATCATGTTAGTGTTAGCTCGTTGTTTGCATTAGACACATCAGGCTGCAGCAGGGTTGTTTACGACAGTTGTAATTCCACTGTCAACCAGTAGGGCGGAGGAGCGGGAAACCAAAGCAAAATGCCACCTCATATGATTTTTGTTGTTGAAAGACTTCTAATAATACATTTTTTCTACAAAGAGTTGTATAAATTAAATGGTTAAACAGAACATAATTATACTTGCACAGGTCTAGAAAACACATTTGTTAGTTCATTAATTTTATGGTAATATAAACTTATTTTGCATTTGCATTTCTGTCTCTGCATCTCTATGAAAACACAAACTCAGACACATACTGAGTGCTTTCATGTGATTACCATATTCCAGAGCAATTTGAAATTCTATCTTTTTGAGGGAAAGGAAAAGAGTCCGGACACCTGTGGACTAATTTATGCACATTAAAGTGCAACATTTGCCATCTTATTACATCTGGTTGGTTTTCTTTAGAGATGTTCCTTCTGTTGACTGAGAAGTATGGTGGGTTTTATGTGTTTACCCATCCTGGCAAAAACATACAATATTCTACTTCTTTTCTCTTTGGACTTATCTGTGAAAAAGATCTGGTTGATTGAGTGAAGCAGTAGAGGGAGGGTGTTTGAAGGGGGTTAAAGGATGTTGTTGTAGGTCCATCAGGGAGAAATCAAACCAAGAAGATCCTGCTCGTATATTGTACCTGCGTAGGCCCAAAGAGGTTTGAGCTTTCAACTTGGAGAAAAGCTATCATGGAGAGAAAAAAAATACTGTTGTATTGCATTTCATAGTTTCTGTTTTCAATAACAACCACCCTCACATTTTATTTGAGCTCCATTCTGTGCGCTTCAAAAATGTCTACTCGAGGAGCTTCTACGTAAAATAAAATCTGTGTAGGCATGCTATTCCTGTCTGACTGGATAAAATAAAGTTTCGATTTCTTTTTTTTCATAAATTAAAATAATTTAAGTATTTGCTATTTTCATACAGTCTTTATTTGATCTGTTTTTTGTATACTTTTACTTGTAACTTTAGTGACACAGTGGCCTTCAGTTACCACACTATCTCTAACAATGTCACATAACTTCCAGCGGAGTTGTTCTTTTCAGGTTGTGAGTGAGTCATCCATCTTTATTGTGTTTGAACCAAAACTACAAAAAAATAATGTGTGATATCTGAAAACAATGAAATTATAAACACATTATTAACACAAACTGCAACATAAATGCTATTCCAGTACAAACATTTTTTATTTACATCAAAAATTGAACCATTTTCAAGTTGAATGTACAAATTTTACTTCTAAATAATCCTTTTCAGACTTTATTGGTTGATTGCTTTTCTGTTCAGTTGTGTTGTATAAAAAATGTTTTTGTTAGTTCAGAATAAAATATCAGTCAAAAAAAGTTCTTAAAAACAGACAACTTCAAGTGCTTAAAATGTATCACTGTAATTTAAAAAAGGTGAAAATTTGAATATGAAGAACTTACATGTTTTTAATGATCACAAACTTAACTACATGTTTTAAAAAGACACATAAAAAATCAAATAAGGAGTTAACGATTTTAGAGTTCGTCACAAGCTTTGAGATTTTACCAAGCTGCTTTTAACTAGCTGAAGGAATGTGCAAAATAAACCAACAGTTAAAAACGCAACACGTTTTATCTCAATAGGAATGTTAGTTCATTTGGGTCTTGTTTGATATCACACGTGACATTTGAATAATTAAATGCATTTTTTTTTTAATAAAAAAGCTTTAGTTTACAGTAATAATAACCCTGTCTAATGTTTGATTCTCTGCCTCATTATTAAAAAATTGCTTTGAGGGCACATTTTCCCAAATGATTAAAATGCGATTAATTAAGATTAATTCATTACAAAGCCTCTAATTAATTAGATTAATTTTTTATTTGAGTCCCACCCCTAATTAACATTAATTATAACCGATCACTCTGGGTTTTTCGTGCAGGCTGAACATGAAAATAGTCTCCTACACCTATCTCCTGCATTAGCTTCTGATAGAAAATAGATGATGAAACAGTAGGATTTGCAAAGTTTGACAGATCTATGTCACACAGTCACGTTAAAATTCTTGGACTCGGCCATCTTGACTCACGACGGGGAAGGCTGTTCTTTTTTTATTGTCCTGGAAACAGCAGAGACCGTCTCGACCTGCTTGCCGTTGGCATTAGCAACTCCACCACACAGCAGAACACCTCCAGGCTTGTGCTATTTGTGGAGATAAAACATCCATGTTGCAGAGCAAATGAGGTCAGTGGTAACGTTGCTGTTATCCAATCAGAGGCAAGATGTCCAAATATCAAGAAATAAGACTCCAAATCCTGCCATGTTCATCTCTCCTCTGATGTGTTATTCTGCTAGTTCCAGAAACAAGTGCTTCTGAGCTTTTTTCCCCTCTTAGTATGACTTGCAAGGCATTCTTTCCTACTGGAGACCACTGCAAATGTGTTGATTAAACTGGTGTCCCACACCTTTAATTTTGAAATGGTGTTTTATAACACTGGTAATGACCTAAAAATTAATTCCGTAGCAGCACATCTTAACCTCAAAAACACATTTATAATGGACTTTTAGGGCCTAAAACTGATTTTAGAATCTTAAGTAATGAGGTTTTTAAAACACCGAATAATTTTTCATATTTTAATAAACAAAGATTTGTGAAAATCAGCTTCACAGTTTGTAGATGGCAACCCCTTTGCCATCATCACAGCTGCTCAACATGCTCATCCATTGTCCTGAAAGATGCACCACAGGCTTCTCCCCCTGTTTTTATTATTCATGTATTTGCTTGGAGCTTAATTGGCAAATGATTAAGCTCAGGAGCACAGAGAGGTGTTGGTATGTTGGGTCCAGTGGCAATACTCTAAACATCTCTTCTAACCTGCAGGCCAGTGCACAAATAAATGATCAGGAAAAAGCAGCCTTTACCAGCTGATCCTTCTCCCCCACCCCTAATAATTTACAACCAATATTATTTTTTTCTTTTTTGCAAGACCAGTTGTTTTGTCTGTTTAATTAATTTTTTTGTTTTTTCAAATAAGTTGCCCATTGTACTCCTGGTACTACATATCTTAGGTGCATTTTGTGACATTTTTTCTCCCCTGACCCAGTGGACCAGCCTCTTCTTTCTGAGATTAAATTATCTCCTATTTTCTCATCTGGGTTGGAGTAGCAATAAATATTTAGTACACCATAATGAATGTGATTTTTGAAGGGACTTGGTGAAGAAAAGCTTCTGCTGTTCACCATTTAGTACAGTGGAAGTGTGAGAAAGGGACGAGCAAAAACATGCTGTTTAATCCCAGAAGTACTCCATAATGGTTGTTTTAAGCATGATCCATGAAACAAAGAGGCACACAGTAAAATATATGCAAAATCATACAAATTCTGTTTTCTAGGGATCTTGGTCCTCGTTACGATGACCTGGGCTGGTTTATCTGTTGTTCTGGTATGCTTCCACTCTTGTGCAAATGAATGAACTAAAACTGCACCCAAATTAATCTTGCTGTGGGAACACTGTGCTTGCAGTGTAATAAAACAAGTGCCTTGCCTTATTTCTTGTCCTGTTTCTGCCCCTGATCTCTCCAAGGGACCGTAGTTTCTGCAACAGTGGGTTAGTCATGATTTTTCTTAACGTAGAATTTGAACACTGATTTTTTTTGTGCTTAAAAAAAAATCTTATTTCACCTCTTTCAGGACTGTTCCAATCCTACGTATGCATCATGGCAAGTTCGCTCAAAGTTCCTGGATGTGCTCTTGCTCAACCCATTGTATCGAGGATGCATCAATGCAGACTTGGGACAGCAGTTTCCCACAATGCATTTCGTAGCAACAGTTATACTCCGAACGTCAGAGGAGAAATCTAATAACTGTATATTTTTATATTAGAAATATTAAGTTGTCCATTTGCTGCTGTGTATTTGGGATTTTACTTTTCATGATCCCTCAAAATACTAATTAGCTAACTCACTATCAAAAAAAAGTAGAGTAGCTCTGTTATGATGAAAAATTAAGGATTTTTATTTATTTTTTTAGTCATTTAACAATAGAACATGCTGGTATTTTTTTTTGTTTTTATCAAAAGTGGACGAAATATAATACAAATAATACAGGTGCTGGCCAGTAAATTAGAATATCATCAAAAGGTTGAAAATATTTCAGTAATTCCATTCAAAACGTGAAACTTGTACATTATATTCATGCAATGCACACAGACCAATGTATTTCCAATGTTCATTACATTTAAATTTGATATTTATAGGTGACAACCAATGAAAACATCAAATCTGGTATCTCAGAAAATTAGAATATTCTAAAGGCCAATGAAAAAATGTTTGTTTCTCTAATGTTGGCCAACTGAAAAGAATGAACATGAAAAGAATGTGCATGTATAGCACTCAATACTTAGTCGGGGCTCCTTTTGCCTCAATAACTGCAGTAATGCGGCGTGGCATGGACTCGATCAGTCTGTGGCACTGCTCAGGTGTTATGAGAGCCCAGGTTGCTCTGATAGTCGTCTTCAGCTCCTCTGCATTGTTGGGTCTAGCGTATTGCATCCTCCGCTTCACAATACCCCATAGATTTTCTATGGGGTTAAGGTCAGGCGAGTTTGCTGGCCAATCAAGGACAGGGATACCATGGTCCTTGAACCAGGTGCTGGTGGTTTTGGCACTGTGTGCAGGTGCCAAGTCCTGTTGAAAGGTGAAGTCTGCATCCCCATAAAGTTGGTCAGCAGCAGGAAGCATGAAGTGCTCTAAAACTTCCTGGTAGACGGCTGCATTGACCCTGGACCTCAGGAAACAGAGTGGGCCAACACCGGCAGATGACATGGCACCCCACACCATCACTGACGGTGGAAACTTTACACTGGACCTCATGCAACGTGGATTCTGTGCTTCTCCGCTCTTCCTCCAGACTCTGGGTCCTTGATTTCCAAAGGAAATGCAGAACTTGCTTTCATCAGAAAACATAACTTTGGACCACTCAGCATCAGTCCAGTCCTTTTTGTCCTTGGCCCAGGCGAGACGCTTCTTGCGCTGTTTCTTGTTCAAGAGTGGCTTGACACACGGAATGCGACACCTGAATCCCATGTCTTTCATGAGTCTCCTCGTGGTGGTTCTTGAAGCGCTGACTCCAGCTGCAGTCCACTCTTTGTGGATCTCCCCCACATTTTTGAATGGGTTTGTCGTCACAATTCTCTGCAGGGTGCGGTTATCCCTAGAGCTTGTACACTTTTTTCTACCACATTTTTTCCGTCCCTTCGCCTGTCTGTTAATGTGCTTGGACACAGAGCTCTGCGAACAGCCAGCTTCTTTAGCAATCACCTTTTGTGTCTTGCCCTCCTTGTGCAAGGTGTCAATGATTGTCTTTTGGACAGCTGTTAAGTCAGAAGTCTTCCCCATGATTGTGGTGCCTTCAAAACAAGACTGAGGGACCTTTTAAAGGCCTTTGCAGGTGTTTTGAGTAAATCAGCTGATTAGAGTGGCAGCAGGTGTCTTCTATATTCAGCCTTTTCAGAATATTCTAATTTTTTGAGATACCAAATTTGGAGTTTTCATTAGTTGTCACTTATGAATATCAAATTTAAATGTAATGAACATTGGAAATACATTGGTCTGTGTGCATTGCATGAATATAATGTACAAGTTTCACGTTTTGAATGGAATTACTGAAATATTTTCAACCTTTTGATGATATTCTAATTTACTGGCCAGCACCTGTATTTCCGTTGTTATTTTGTAATTTAACAATCAAACAAAACTTTTATTTTTGTTTCAACTCATTTAGCCGTAGCTAGAAACAAGCAGAGCTTGTACGGTTCTGTTCCACCGTCCTCGTCCCCCCGTACTCGGTCGAACGAACTTTCTGGTGTCCTTGCCAAGAACATACTTGTCTAGTACACAATAATGTACTAGCGTCCTTCAGTGTTGAGAAACAGCCTCTGACTTTACAGCAATGCCCATTCTAAACAAGCATGTGGCGAAAGTGGAGAGGAAAACTCCCTTTTAACAGGAAGAAACCTCCAGAGAATCCTGGCTCAGTATAAGCAGCCATCCTCCACGACTCACTGGGGATTGAAGACAGAGCAGACACACACACACACACACACACACACACACACACACACACACACACACACACACACACACACACACACACACACACACACACACACACACACACACACACACACACACACACACACACACAAACAAACAAACAAAAACACACACACACACACCATATATAGATACATGCCAAGTAGTGTTTTTATGGCTACATGGAGATTTTTTTAATAGCTTTTCTATTTAGTACTTTATTGTTTTTATCTGAGTGAATCTCTCAACAATTCAACAGGTGAACTAGTAGTAGCACATTCTATGTTAAAGAGAGTAAAATGCATGGGGCCACCACAGCCTAACAGAGCACTAGTGTAGCTTATGACACAAGCTGCTTGTAACCAAAAATCTTCCTCTTTTTCTCACAAAGCAAATCTTGTCCTTGTGTTTTCTGTGGAACATAAAACAAACTAGTTTTTAAAACAAAAGTAAAAAAACATCTTGTTAACTTCTTTCTCTGGTTCCCTCGTCACTTTCATGTATTTATTACACCATTTATCAAATTTAGTTTCAGGATCACTTAACATTTTTAGCGCCATCATATTGTTGAACTTCTCTGTATGCTCCCCCTTTTTTATTCTATAAGATCATATTGACACTTACAGAGACGCACTCACTCAGTCATTCACTGAAATAGTTATTTGATAAGATTACAGTAGCTGTAATTAAACCCACGATGGAGGACATCAGAACACACAGCCAGCTGTTGTTTGAACTAGACAATTGGAACCTGCACTCCTCCTTCCTACTACGCACACACACAATCTTGGTGGTGTCCAGGTCCTGGGCCCAGCGCAATATTTTTCAATTTTCTCTAATTGTGTGAAAGCGGTAATCCAAGGCAGCCTATTGTATATTCCACCCCCTCCACTGCCTGGCCTATATGGGCGCTAACTCCACAATTAACTTACCAGACCCAGGTCTCAAATCAAATCACTGCCAGCATCTATTACTACTGCCTAGCAACACTTTCCTACATTCTGGTTGCATAAATGTCTGCAAAATTAGATCGGCTTAATGCTGAAAGTACCAAAAAATGTGATTGTAGATGTTTCAAGTTAGTCTGTGCTCTCCAAAGTGGTTTCTTTCCTTATCACATTTTCCCCTAATTTTCCTCCTGTATTATATTTTCTAACTATTCTAACACATAATTTTTCACTTCTCGCAGATGAGCAGCGTGAAGCGGCTGCGACCTCGTCTCAACCACATCCTCTTCAGGCTGCAGTTTGAGGAGCACGTAAACAACCTGCGTCCAGATATCCTGGCCGTAAGCGCGGCGTGTGAAGAAGTCAGGAAGAGCCGCGCTTTTGGCTGCTTGCTGGAGCTAGTGCTGCTGCTGGGGAATTACATGAATGCAGGCTCTCGAAATGCCCAGTCATATGGGTTTGACCTCAGTTCCCTTTGCAAGGTAAGGGGATGAAATGTTGACCTTGCTATTGACTTTTTACATACAGCAAGGAGTCTTTTTATCCCTCTGGTGGCAGTGGTTCAACATGAGTGTGCAATAAAGCTCAAAAATAAACACAAACTGCTTTTAAATAATTGATTACATACAGCTATGTTTCCAGGTAAACTCATGTATTGACAAAAACAACATTTTCACCCATCTGAGCTGAATGTTTGACTGTTTTTTGTGTGGAAAGGAAAACAGAGTCCAAAGGACCCTAGAGCGTTCAATACAAATATCTGAGGTTGTCTTTGAGGAAAGAAAACAAAGATGTTTACTCCTATTTAAATGTCCATTATTGGTCAGACTGCCATGCAGACAAACACACTGTCAGTGTTGAAATTAAAGAGATACTGTGTAGTTTTAAACCATTAATCTCTGGAAATATCAATCAAAATTTTGAAAATACATTAAATGATGTGCAGTTGTTGAAAAATATTGGCGGCTTCGTAACATATAACCATAAAAATCGGGCCTGAAATACATGGGAGTGGGTCTGAGTCTCTGGGCGACGCCATAATAGATGCCATGTTTCTAACGAAATTTACCCGTTTGTAACAAGCGGTTACAAAACTTTCACCATTCATAAGCATTAGGTGCATTTCCATTAGGGAAACCTAACCCTACGCCTACCAGAACTTCAGGGTAGATTTGTAGGAACCTCCCGAAATACATGTGTCCACTTGACCTGGCCGGTTGAATGGCCGTTTTCAGGAACCTTCTGAGTAACTGATCAGGAGTAGGTGCTCGGAGTGGCCCGGTAAGTGGCCCGATGCAGTTGGTGGGCGGGAATGCTTCCGACTGGTTGTAACTCATTTAGAAATGATGTTTTGTTCACTGCTTTCGGTGCGTTCTGTACCAATTGATGACACAACTCACAGTGGAAAGAAAGAAAGAAAACTCTTTTATTTAGCACCTCAAGATAAAAATCGTGATGCGCTTCACAAAATCAAAAAAATTTCAATAGAATTTTTTTTTTTTACAAAAATGATAAAAAATAACATGTTTTAAATGACAAAAGAAAAAAGAAAGTGAAACGTAGCGGTTGCGATGTGCTGACGTTTTAGCAAATTCCTTACAGGGCCAAACTGTAAATAGAGACAAGACAGCTAAGAGGACCGGGCCTTCGGATCTCCCGGATCTCCAATTTTTTCCCCCTCGCTGCATTTACCCTGCAATTCTGGTGAAGGTAACACCTATTGTTTTACACATTTACCTCTTCACTAGTTGCCAGCGATGAAAGGGACTTTAATGGCTTCTCATTTTGCTGGAGGTTGTGCTCCCAGGGATTTTTGACCCTAATGGCCATTCGTTGGTAAGGTCTTACTCAAACACAAAAACACCACTTGCTTGCAATGATTCAGGTGTGTACTGCCCCCCTATCGCCAGGGAAAATGCACACCGTCCCTTTAAAGTCAGAATCCTTGTTCAGTTCAATTCTCTAAGGACATTCTTCATTTAATAAGTGCATTTTTTTATTGTATCACCTGTGCTGAGCCTTAAAAGTGGAATGATCCTCATTGGCGGCAGCTGGGATGAGTTATTTATTTGTTTATTACCCCTTCAGGTATACTTTATCACCATCGGCACCACAAGGCAGACTTTATCTATTGGCTTGCTTCTATCAAAGCTTTAAAAAAAGCCCTATTTGATTCCCATTCTTCGCCTCAGAATAGATAACCAAGGCTGTGACCACAATCCCTTTTGAAAGCTCACATGGTGTACAGGACAGACCACGCTTTGTGTATAGAGACGCGGTAGATACCTGCGGATTTTGTGTCATGAAGACCAAACGCTAAGTTTGTGTGATTGTAACAGTAAAAGCAGAGCGTTTTCTTTGGATGTGAGACTCCTGCAGTGGTTACAGCTGTTGGCACATGCTCTGCAGTTTCCACAGTAACAACCGCCACAGCCATTTGTCACTGCCACCTCTTTGCCCTGTTAGAATTGGAAGCGTATGCTCATCTAAACACCAATGCATGTGCCAAAAAGGAACATCTACAACCTCGGCGAACCAGATGCATTAGCGTAACTATAATGTAATCAATCAGTTGAGGCCTGTTATGGATTAAGTCTGTCACTCGGTTTAACGCTGCTCATCCCGGTTGTTGGTTTCTTTCTCTTCCTGGTGATAGGCTGTCTGATGATGGTGAGCTGATGTCACAGGCACAATATATAGAGGAAGGCATCACCTTCATGCCTGCCCTAGAGTTTGACAACTTAATTCCGTGGCACACTCCAAAGCACAGGAAAATTGCACCAAGTCCAACTGGAATAAGAAAAATGTTTACATTGTCATCTCTGATTATCATCCGTCTGAATTCAGGCGGGGACCTTTTGTGAGCGAATACTCAAAGCTTTTTGGGAACAAAAGGAAGGAAAGATGAAACAAACTGAAATGAAAAGAGAAATGAGAAAGTTTGATTAGAGGAGATAATGCAAACATGATTAGACCCAGCGGGTCCGAGTACACTGCTGTCTACCAATAGATCACCTAGAGAGATGCACAGCAACTCTCTCCACGGGAGGGATGCTCAGCAGGACTACTGAGACATCTTGGAATTAGACTGTAAAAGTGAAATGATGGAAATGTATCAGAGGGATTGAAAGATTGCTGTGTGTAAGGGCATGAGAGAGAAAGGCAGCCAGTGCAGGGGGCCATTACATTGTGAAATTGCATCTGCTGCATGAGTGTGTGACATAAAAATCATCTGTTGCATTGTTGTCAACACTTAGAATGTCTAAACCCAGAGCTTAGACATGTGTTCCTTTGTCTTGTAATATCCAGCAGATACCGCCAACTTATTTTGTCTGCAAAATGGCTGCAAAACATTTAAAGTCGGGTACTTTTGTCTTCTATAGAACAGATCTGCTCTGAAAATCTTTGTTCAGCTTTCAGGGTGGAGGGAACAGACTAAAAAAGAAGGCAGCTTATATATACATAACCGTGATGCATCAAAGGGAGAACTTGAACGCCATGCTCTTACAGTTACAGGAATAGAGGGCTCCGTTATGCTCTGTTTTTGTTTCCTTTTTGCGTGACAACCTGCTTTGGGTCCACTTATTCCCTTAGGGGAAGGGTCACTGCAAATCAATAGAAAATTCCTCTGAGTGATTTCTTCTGTGATGAAACATTTCTACTCTGAGTGAGCTGGTCTCCTCCAGGATGACAGTTCTGCCTTTCATGGGTCACTAGGAGGTCATGGAAACATTTGATGACTATGAAAATGATGTGAGTCATGTAGCCTTTTGCAGCCACCACCTGAGCACCTGTGGGAAATTAGTTTTCAAGGGGTGTCTATCCCTGCCATAAGGGTAAAAGTAGATGCACTGCTTAAGTCACAGCTGGAGATTAAATTGTGCATAATTTGGAAAAGTTTTATTTTGTGTTCTGAAACATTTGATCACACCAAGATGAACAACCAGTCAACCCACGATACAGGAACATCTCAGTGAATTCAAGTATGATCAAAAATTAATAAATGCCAGTAATTTGAATAGTTGATGATTAAAGTTACAGCAAATAAAAACCCAAAATTTAGATTTAGATATTTACAAAATTACATCAGACCAATAAAAAAAGATTTTTAATGCAGGACTGGTGGCCTAGTGAAAAGTATGCCCTTGTACATGAACACAATATGCACTTTAACCCCTGCTTGCTCCAAGGAAGACTTCAGCATCGGCCTCAGGTGGAAAGTGTTACAGCCTAGAAGGCAGAGGGTAGAACAGATCTGCTCAACCATGATTTAATGGCTAAAAGCGCCCACCAACCTCCATTAGTTTTAGTTAGCTCAGAGTTTGATGGATGTCAGTCATCTGTCCTCACCCTTACAGCTCTTAGTGATGAGGACAAGATGGTGGTGGTGGCAACCACCAACTGGGCTTCAGTTCAGCTCTTCAGAAACCTATGAATGACATCACAGAGGATTTCACCCATAGGTGCCATCTTAAACAATGTATGGCAGGGGTGATAAACCCTGGTCCTCAATGTTTTAGTTGTTTTCCTGCTCCAACAGCTGATTCAGTAGTTGACTCATCTGTTCAGCTGCTCATGCAGTTCTGCAGAAGCTCATAAATCATTTGTTGATTAAAATGTGGTGGATAGCGAGGAATAGGATTACCCACCCCTGATCTATACGCTGGAGACAGGGAACACAACAGTTGTATCCCATGGATCTGTTGGTGTATGGAGGCACATTTGGGATTTTTTTCAAAATTCTTGAAAGGGCTTTGCTTCCCAATCCCCCCAGATGTGCTTTTCACCTGTTACTTGTGCACTTTTGCAAATAAAAAGTTTCCTTCCACCCAATCTTCCATTACTATTCGTGGATACTTTGTGACCATTCATCTTCTTTAGCAATTACCTTTTTTAGCTTTCCCACCTTCCGGTGGGTGTCAATGACTTACTTCTAGAGAGTCGACAAATAAATAGTTTTCCCCATAATGTGGATCCATCTGAATAGAACATCAACATCGATGAACATTAACGTGAAATGTTCTGTATCATATCTGCTGGAGGTGATAAAAGAAGCTGCTCATCTGTACCACAATAAAAAAAGAGCACGTAACTACAGATCTGTCTGGACCCAGATATTTGCCTTGTGGGGCCATTTAAATCCTCATCACAGTACAGCAGTGATGTGTTGGTTTCAGGGTTGGATTTATTTGCTTAGTGTTTTCCTCCAGTGCAGTGCAGCTAGAGCCGGACAGTCTGGGGAGAGATGATATGAGGAGAAAAGGTCACGAATCACCTCAGAGATTTAGCTGCACTTATCAAATCCCAATCACCAACTGATGAGCAACAAAGATAGATTGTTGTTGAAATGGAAAATTAATATAGCTTCATGCGGTTATTTATTGAACAGGTAGCAACAATTACAGACTCCTAATAAAAATGGGACTGTGTAATGTTCAATAAATACGTTGAAGAAAACATACATATTTATTAAATGAAAAATCTGACTGCAAGCTCAAAGTAAGAAAGCTAATTCAACAAGTATAACATTTTTAGATAATCATCTGTGAAGTATTTTAATAAGAACGTGTATTGGTTTATGATTAAAAGAGTTAAGATCATCTTTTGAATGGTATCATCAAATTACTTCTCTTGCATGCAGGCCCGGTGCTTTGAGTCAGATGAGGATAACATTGGAGTTTGTGAGTTCCTCACATATCTCATAGTTATTGACAAGCGTCTACGCAGCAAGACCAAATCTATATTCTGATCATATTTCCAATTCTTGTATAGCTCTGACTTGCCAATACATATTTTGGCTGATTATGAATTACCTCAAACAACTGTAATTGACAAAATCCATTTTGTCCCCATATTTAACTCTATCAAAAAGTATGATTCTTGAAGTAAAGATTTCAGAATGAACGATTTCTTCACTATCACCTGGAAATTAAGTCATACTGTTTACTGCTGAACTGCTTAGCTATGGTTAGCCATTGATTAGCCGATCCTGATCACAAGCAATTTTTTTTTCTTCATGAAGGAATGGAAATAAACAGAAACATAAAAAGTAGTTAGATCTTTAAAGGAGCAGCATGTAAGAATTCTACAGTGGAATAATCACAAACCAGTCTAATTTCTGTCATCATAAAAGGAAGGTGACAGTGTAACAGATTTCTCTCTCTCAGCCAGCTGGGGGATGTCAGATTTTCTCCTCTGTACAAAAAATAAAAAACAACAACAACTATACAAAAGAGAGACACAGTCTTGTTTAGAATCAGTGAGCCCCGTGGAGTTGCCGAGCCTGCGCCAAGGTAACGCCGCAGTGCCGGCATTTATATTTCATCACCAGTTGGCAAAAAGCTCAAGTCTAAAGAAACTAAGCCTATAACAGGAGCGACTCGGACATAATTTTGTGTACCCTTACAAAGCCATGGCACCCTTTTTTTTAAATAAATTATAGAATATTGGCAGAAGAAGGCACGAGGCTAATGTTGAGCTAGCAATGAATTGGAAACACATAGTCAGCTCTTAACAGAGTGAAGTGATTAATGAGTTAATTGGGGTGTTTTACTTCCATTAATGAGTTGTTCAGAACTGTAACAGCAAGCTAACAGGAAGATGACAAACTCCTCTAATGCTGGAGCCATATTACTGTAATAAGTGTAGTTTTGCTCATTACTAGCCTGGCAAGCCAGTCTAAATAAATATATTATTTGGTCTGAGAAAGCTCCATTGACGGTTCTCATCTTGGGGCGGGTTCTACCGTTGTCTTTCAAACGATCTTTGCATGCTACTGGACAACGTACGTGATGTACTCCCCGTAATGGACAAGGCAGTTCGCCATCTTGTTCCACTCTGTTGCATCATCCCGCTCTCCAAACCAAAAGAGCACCTTAATTGGCCCACAAAGCCAATGGAGCTCAGTGATTGGTCCTCTTTTGGGTATGACTCGTCTTCGGCTGTCATCTAGAATCTTCTTGTGCTGATCCGCAACAGCCATAAAACTCACTGAATAGTTGTGACCTAGCGGGTTTTTGTTTATAAAAAGGCACTGCAGTGGCCAAATTTGACCACCAGGCGTCCTTTTTTTCCTTCTTTCTTACATAATGCACCTTTAAATTGTTTTTTAGGACAAAGTGTAACTAGATGTGTTTCTTGTATTTTACAGCTAAAAGACACGAAGTCAGCAGACCAGAAGTCTACCTTACTACACTTCTTAGCTGAAGTATGTGAGCAGGAATTTCCTGATGTGATCAAGTTTGTTGATGACCTGGAGCATGTGGATCGAGCTAGCAGAGGTATTTTTACAGCACTCTCACACTGTACATTACTACAACGTTACAATACTTTAAAAATATTAAAAAAAACACCTACCCGAGTGCACCGTGTTCGGCGCTCTTTCTGCCTAATGAAAATTACCAACAAATGCAATAGTAATCAGCGAATGCAAAGCACACAAACCAAAATCTGGTCTCATTTGATCCTCTGTGTGGAACAGCAATAAAGTAATAAGAAATCTTTGTAGCTTTGCACGAAATGACAGAAATCTTATTAAGTAGCTGTGGAAACGAATAAATCTGAGAGCCGAATTATATTTTCTAAACTTGCAAAGAGTTCTTTGTCATCATGTTCCTCTGTGAGCATTAATCATCGGTGCCTGGCATAAACTCTAGTGACAACAGCATGGGCAACAGCAGTGGAAAATGATGGAGCACAGAGCCTAATGAAAATGTAATGAGATGCTTTGAATTTCCAGCCTTCTGATATCATGAACGTTATCACATTTTAACATTGCCCCGTCTCAAAGAAAATATGGATAATCGCTTAGATCCTTTGTCATTTAAACAAGATAATTAGATTTTACTTGATGCTAAGAAAACAAGGCGTAAGCATCAACAGAATCATATTTCATTGATCAAATGTGCTTTATTTTAGAATATGTTATTTTTTTGCACAAAGTGAGAATCAAAAGTAAAACCGAATGACCTAGCTACCTTTATTCTGTGTGCTTTGGTTTTGCTGTGATCTGTATCCCCACCCTGCTACTTTGACTATTCTCTTGGGGTTCTTCTGGGATTAGATGCTTGTTGATTCTACAAACAATGCATTTTTTCAGTTTAGTGTTTGATCTCTGCTGCATGCTCAGTTCATTTGCTCCGCTGTTTTCTACAGACATTAATCTTCCGCTGATGCACATTTGCAAGTTTTTAGTTTTTATTTCAAGCGAGTACATTAGGTGATGCCAGCCACGGAGATGAAGAGCAACATTCTCCTTTAAACACGTTAGAAGGCTCTGTGTAGGTTTTGAGACAGTTTGGAGGTTTGTCCTGTTTTATTATACAGTATCTATATCTCTCTCTCTATATATAGAGATATAGATAGATAGATACAGATAGATAGATATAGATAGATAGATAGATAGATAGATAGATAGATAGATAGATAGATAGATAGATAGATAGATAGATAGATAGATAGATAGATAGATTTTCTCCTATCATACAAACACAGCTCCAAACAAATGCTCACAAAGTGCTTTTAGTCTGGCCAGTGTCTCCAGAGCATGGTAAAGGTCAGAGACCAGCAGAGCAGGCTGGGTGGTCAAAGGAGACTCGGTCTTTATTCTTTGTTCATGTTGCTATATGCGGCTCTCAGGGAGAAGCAGGAGTCTATGCACAGTTTGTGTTTGTTTGTTTGCGTGTGTGTGTGTGTGTGTGTGTGTGTGTGTGTGTGTGTGTGTGTGTGTGTGTGTGTGTGTGTGTGTGTGTGTGTGTGTGTGTGTGTGTGTGTGTGTGTGTGTGGTTGTGGGTGTGTGTGTGTGTGGGGGGGTGTGTGTGTGTGGTTGTGTGGTTGTGTGGGGGTGTGTGTGGGTGTGTGGGTGTGTGTGTGTGTGTGTGTGTGTGTGGTTGTTCTGTCACAGCGTGTTTCCTCCTGCTCCAAAGACGATTTTTACCCACTGCTCTGCTCCCAGCAGGAGGGAGTGAAGAAAAGTGTGAGGAGGAGAAAACAAAGGAGGATAAATTGTGTGACTTGGTTGTTTGGTCTTTCTTCATGAGGGCTTCTCTATTTTATTTCTTTTATATAATAGCGGATGATGATTCTCCTGTTGTGCCTTTCATTTCTCCCTGGCTGTGCTGTTTGTTCACAAAGCCCCTGTTTGAGATTAATGAGAACAAAGTTGGAATCGGTGAGAGCCGTAATCCTCAGATCTGTCCTCAGACTTTGTCCACGTCTCCTCAGACCTCAAGCTAAGTGTATTTACATCCATAGAGATGGAGTGCTCCCTCTCTCTCTCTCCGTCACAGCCTCTCAGTGTTTCTGTACCATTATGACATGCTCACATTAAGTCTTTTATTACCCCACATCTGTATTCAGACACACAAATCCCATTTCTTTTCAAACCAGCCCGTTGAGTGGCTTCCTTTTCATTAATTCTGACAGCCATTTGAGAGGACTGTAGACACGCTAAAAGGCTGCATTACATTCATAGACACTAACCAAAGAGCTTACTTGGGCATGAAAACAAGGTTGGGTAGAGGTAGCAGTAATGATTTGTGTTTCAGCTGTGAAGGGTGCTATCTTTTGACGGTGTGGAGCACAGCCCTCGTTTCCACCACTGCCAGTCGTATTTCTCGCAGAATCAAAACTGTACTTTAGTTCAGGATTGCTTCATGTTTGTCTTCTTATTTTTGCTCTCCTCTCTCTTCCCCTTCAGCCCTGCAATCATTATTTCTTCTGACAGTGAGAAACAGTCTTTTTTTTCTTCTTTTCCTTTTGCTGCTTCTGTCATTTTCCATGGATCTCTCCTCATCTCTCTGTCGGTCTGTCCTTCTCCTCCGCTTCTCTCTGGTTCCTGATTTCAGTTTCTGCTCTGTCCTTTTTTCTCCCCCCTTTCCTGCCTTTTGTCCCTCGTTGCAAACACGCAGGCTTGACAGACTGCAGCAGGGTTTGGGATGTTAAATATGGAGAGCTATTAATGTGTTCAAACAGGATGTCTCACCTTGTAAGTTTAAACACCACCTGACGGCTGCAAAAACTCACTTTTTATGTGAAATGCTAAAAAGACATGCCTGCGTAAGAGTTATTAAGCAGCGCGGATGGAAAAGCTGTCTTTGGTTCAGTTTCTTCTCGAGTCCTGTGGCAGTGAAGACTCATTAGGGAGTAATGTGAGGACTCAACCACATTGAGATGGCTCTTTAATATGCTGCTGAAGCTCTGCTTTGTAGTTTTACCACATGCAGTCTGAGTGATGAGCCTGAGGTTTAAAGTATTTAGTGGAGGCTCTCCTTGCTACAATTCACAGCCCGGCTCACTCTTTTAGAAGGCAGTACTGTAGGTGATCAGCATGTTGAGTGTTTGCCAGTATCCCCCTATAGGTCTGCTATCCCCAGATTCTGAAACCATTGTTCCAGTCCCAGGTGTCTGCCGGGTTTTGGCCTCAATGGGCAGATCTGCATTTTTTGAAACTCGTAATTTCCAAACATCAGAAGATGATCTCTCATGAAGCTGCGTCTGTAGCAGAGATGTTTGCGCGTGAGCTCCTCTCTGTCTCATTTATAGCACAGCAGGTTGACAGAGTAATAAAAGGATGTCAATGGGGGAATTGACCTCTACAAATACTCCCAATTATTATTCCTCTCAAACACCCTATATCTGTGTGCAACCCCTCTGGACCGCAGAGGCATTCAGGTCCCAGTGCCCATAAAAATCACTTACGCTTTAATGCACAGAATGAGAACGCAACAGCCTGGCCGGAGAGAGCAGGAGACACAGAAATGCTCCTTTGTGTTTATTTTCTCCTTCAAATTCAGTTTGTCGCACATTGCGTTAGTGTTAACGTCACAGTGTGTTCTGAAAGTCTATGTTTACATCAAATGTTGTTTTGAAGCAAATATTTTTTGTGTTTAGCAGGAAAAAAATAAAATAAAATTCAGCTGCTACAATCATGGTCCTAGAACACTCCTAGGTAGATTTTCTTCTGACACCTTTGTTTTTGTCACCTTTGTTTCAGCTTTTATTTACGGTGCTCTTTTTTTTTTGTGAGAGGGAGATTGGGTTGTGACAAAAAGAAAAATGGAGATCCGTCTCTGTTTAGTTTTTTGTGTTTGCTCTCCCTTGCTCTTTTCTCACCAGAGAGTCATTTCTGCAGGCTTTAATCATTTCTATTAACAGACTGCCTGTCTGGCCTCCTTCCACTCTTCATGCTGCCCACACTGTAGTCAGTCAAATGCAGTTGCCTGGTGACGTAGAGGGTAGGGGCAATACAGGTAAAGTATCAGTTTCTATCTAAAAATATTCCCATCTCACCCCCGTGGGTGGTCTTATCCCTCCAAGCTCGGGTCCCCTATCAGAGGCCTGGGAAGCTTGAGTGTTCTGCCCAGTATCTTAGATGTTTCTAGAACTTTTCTAGACTGAGATGTCTGTTGTTTTTCCTGGGATCTGCATTGGCCACTCCTCCACTTTGGGGGTTACTGCCCCGAGTGCCCCGATGACCACGGGCACCACCGATGTCTACGCTTTCCTGGCTTTCTCAAGTTCTTCTTTGAGGCTCTGGTACTTCTCTAGTTTCTCATGTTCCTTTTTCCTGATGTTGCCATCACTTGGTAATAGCACATCAACTACAACGGCTGTCCTCTGTTTGTCCACCACCACAATGTTCAATTGGTTCGCCATCACCATTTTGTCGGTCTGGATCTGAAAGTCTAACAGGAGCTTGGCTCGCTTGTTCTCAACCAACTTAGGGGGTGTTTCCCACTTTGAGCTTGGGGCTTCCAGTACTGCACAGATGTTTCTCTACACTGTAACGTGATGGAGCTATTCCACCGAAGGTTATTTACCCTCTCTCCTCAGGAAGAACTAATCTGCATGAGACTGCCTCAAGGTCATGCATTTGCTTTTAAAACTGTTTCCTTTACAGCTCAAGAGAAGAATGAGGACAAACTCTTTCTTTTAATGAATCAGAAGAACTCTATTTTTAATAAAGCTAATCAAAAAAAGTGTTAGTCCAATAATAAAATGTGAACCAGTCTGTGAAATGACAATGTTATGATTAGTAAGTTTTAATAAGTAATATAACTTTAAATGTTTCACTTTAAATGTTTCCACTAGACATACTGATACACGTAATGTTAAGAAGTCACATGACACATTTTATCTTTCTCATCCAATTGGAACCTTCCTTTCACAAGCATGGCATGCTCTCTGTGGTGTTTATAAATCTGTCAAACTCTGATTCGACCGTAAATCAAAACATCCAGATTAATAAAACCAGTCCCCACGCCATCTTAAGCCAGTTCAC